ACTTCTCTAGGCTTGTGATAATTTCATAAAAAGGGCGCCGTTTTTAAACTTATGCGTACACGTGGTTTATTAAGCTCTTCCCTGAATGGCTCGTCTAACTGCACGGGTTTTTAGCGCGCACGATTTTTCTAATTGGCATCATTCATTAGAGGCATATTTTGTTATGGTAAACGCAAACGGCAAATTAACATTTGGGTTCCCTCGTTTTTCTTCCGAGACAGAATAAAGAAGGGCCTTGCAATGAGTGCAAAAGTTTTTCACCAAATGCAGAAACTGAAAGGGTAGTAACAAAACTTCATTTTTTGTCGTAGTCATTCGTCGTGGGTTCTTGAGCTCTTTCCTGAATGGCTTATCTAACTGCACGGATTTTTAGCGCGCACGATTTTTCTAATTAGCACCACTCATTAGAGGCATATTTTGTTATGGTAAACGCAAACGGCAAATTAACATTTGGCTTCTCTCATTTTTCTTTCAAGACAAAAACAGAAGGGCCTCGCAAGGAGTACAAATGTTTTGCACAAAATGCAGAAACTGAAACGGAAGTAGCAAAATTTCCATTTTTGTCGTAGTCGTTAGCGTTACAATGATACCTCTATAAAAATAGCAGAATATGATGTGAAATAAGCCATACTTATTATTTTTCACGGGCTTTAAATATTTTTCTTTCTTTTTCTGTTCAGTCACGGCTGAAATGATGATAAAATAATCGATGAAACTTGTACGAAAATTAAACTTTGTGCTATCCGCCAGACCTCGCTTGTTCAAAGGCTAGATGATGCTATTTACTGGATAAATCGCTATCCGGTGGTTACGTTTTTACCAAATACATATCCTATTCTAAGCGCTTTATTTGCATGAAAATTTTGGACTTTCTAATAGCGCGAGGTTGACATCTGTGGGTGTTTTTCTAGCCCTTAAGCTAAATATCGGGTCGGTCGGTTTCGTAATAACTGGAACTCATATCATTTCATATCCTCATATCAGATGTTGAAATAGTGTCCACAATTACTCTTTCTCTTTCTTCTCCCATTTCAGTCCAGAACACTAATGGCAGATTCATCTTCCTACTTTTGTGTCTACTGTAAAAGTAACGAAACTTTCTACGGATACTTAGCGGTCAAGTTGAACCGTGAGCAAATTTGAGATATTTCAAAAAGTACACGAGAATGGAGATCAACCTTGAGCAGACAAAGATACGGCAAAAACATCCTGTAATCAGCTCCAGGATAAGATGGTTGAATATCAAAATTAAAGGATTTTTAATGTGTGTTGAAAAATGCTTTTCAATATAAACTCAGTATGCTTACTAGAAGCTGTTGCTTCCTAATGAGAGCATTGTGCAAAAAATTAGCAAAGTCTTCGCAAACTGCATGAGCCAGGTTGGATACCTTTATTGTATATTCATTTTTTCTGAGAACTGAGTTATGTTGAAAGAGTTTTGCATTTCTAGAGTATGAAAATATGTAATAAGTAGGAGCAACAAAGAAGAACGGAAATTGTCTCAGAGTTCCTCTGCGGTATAAGTCAGCTTCTAGTACAGTAGTGTATATTAACAGATATAGTTCCTAAGTAGTGCTAGCCCCATTATATTGGTAAGTGGAGTGCTTACTGCACTTACTGCCAAGTGCTACCACATCACAGAGAAAGTCACTGCCAGCCACGCATGCTAGAGTTTTTGACGCTCAAGACGTTCGCTGTCTTAAGCTGTTATGGGGCAAGGTAAGGAGACAGTAAGCGGGGTGAACGGAACATAAATATTCAAGAAACCTTCATTCCAGTACCCAATATTTTGACAGAAGCAAAACAAAAGATTGCATACGTTTCTTCTGTTTTGTTTTGTTTTTTTTGACTACGCTTTTTCCTTTAATCTTTGAGAAAATATCATTGCAATTTACAAAATACTTACATGTATTGAGATATCTAGAATACTTGTTTCAAAAAATCCAAATAAGCTTTTCTTTTTACTGGCCCTTACAAGACTATAAAGTTTCTATAACAAACGAAGTACGTGTTCGGTGAAGGCCAATTTAATATTTCTCTGCCTGATTTAAGTTTACCAAAAAAATTTCACTATTTTTAAGAAAACTTTTACTCCCTCCAATCGTTTCTTCTTCGCAATTCTTATCATACAGCTCTGGCTAAAAAAAAATTGAGTTCCTCCTCGTTCCCTTTTTTCATCGTCATTGTTATCGCACAATTTATTGAATTAGCAATGAAAAGCTGACCATGAAAGCTAGTCCTCCTGCTACCGAGCTTTGGAGCGTTCCATATCTTCAATAATGGACAACAGTTTTTGTTTTCCTTTTTTGGTGACATGTGAACCGACACCACATGTCACGAGGCTTGTCAGCTGCTTAGCAGAGTATTCCTGAGGAAAAAGAAGAAATCTTTATGAAATCATCATAAAAAAGGAAGAACAATTTGCTGAGATGACTAAGAATTGAAAGGATTTGACGAATAAGACAATGCCATGGTCAAATGGGGACTGCTGACTACAAAAGGAAGTAAAATAATAGCATATCTTAATCACCAGAAGTCCCAAACAAAGCAAAATTAAAAGGTTTTATTTTAATTGAAAGCTTTTGGGTCACTCTCTTTGGGTGAAATAGAAACGAACCAAATTATGAATGACCAAAGTGTAAATCATAAGTTTCCCGAGGAATGTATCAGTCAAAGGGTAGCAGTTATTCTAGCCAATTTTATTCGCTGGATTATTTGGTATCTCTCACTACTGTATTTTATTGGGGCTTTTTCAACATAAATAAAAGTTTAATTTAATTGTAGAGAAATGATGGATCTTATTCATTAATATCCATTAGTATCCAGGATCCATTAGTAAAGACTCCTTTTAGGAAAAGAAACTAAATTAGAAGAAATAAAACTGAACATCTAGTTATAAAGCCTGAAGTATTACATCATTTCAGATCTAGATTTCGTAATTCATTTACTAAGTATTTCACAAAGGAAGGAAAATTTAACACAATCTCCACTCTACATTGATGGCACACACCTTCTATGTAGAGTTACTGACTGATTTCACTTACCTTGTGTTCTCGGATCCATCTTTCCATTTCATTCTCAGTCAGGTAAAATGCTTTGACATATGTTTCTACAAACTCTCGGTCCGGGATTGGTCTGAGAAAAATAAAGTCGCAATCAATCATTTTGCTCAATATTTTTTGTGACAGAAATCACCTGCTGGATTCATAATATATCATACCCTTCTTACTGAATATCTGTAAGTTTCTCCAGTTTCACGCGGTATTGTTGATAGTCAAGTTGCATCAATGCTCGGCCCTCGTTGCTACACTTTTTGGCACTTGCAAATCTTCAAGAACAAAAACCCTGAATATAGTGATTTGATTATCTATGCATGGTGTCCTTCGGTAGCATTTTAATTGACAGTAGTGAAGTGCTAATAAGGCCTTTAACTACCGTTAAAAGATGCCTGCAAAAAAGATTCAGGCAATTAACCTGCATTACCTCCCCTATTTACCACTTACAGGCAGATACAAATATTTTTTTCTGTTATTTTCTTTGTTTTTAAGTGACCTTTCTCTCCCGAAGAAAACAACTGCGGGGATATATTTCTCCTGACCTTCGTTTTGGTAACTTTAATTCTTTAAGCGTATTTTGAAACTCTGTAGGCCGGTTATTTACATGAGGCCTGACAGAAACCGCTGTTTACAGCAGTGGGTCTCAGGGATTCTCCTTAAGAGGTTCGATTAAATTCAATAAATGTTCTTCCACTTAAGCTTTCGGCCCTTTCGATACTGTTCACAAACATTTGTGTTCAGATAAAAAGCTTTGCTCAATTCAAAATGGCTTTGAACGCGGTTTTGTTAAACAACGGCTAAACGTTTTTAAATAACCGACCCTGCGGGAATTACAAGAGACTCTAGAGGTGGAGCGAGACATATTTGCTCTGAGGAGGCGTAGGGCTTCAGACGCTCCTATTGTAACAAATCTTTTCTTGATGCCTTGTGGATGACACGATTAGGAGGGAAATCACGCCTCACGCTAGCAAATAAACTCACGAATCACTTTGATAAGCAGTGTCTATTTAAACGATAATTGCGATCTTTATTTAAAGATAATTGTGTTCGTGAATAATTATGTGTAGAGATAAGTACACAACTGAGGGGATAAGGCTACCGATCGACACTGAAACCCGAATAAGCAGCCTTGGAGGACCCTTTGTTCATTAAACAAGCTCAGTAGTTATAAAAGAAACTTGCTGTTCTACTTAATGTCAAACCTTTATACTTCAAATTTTGTTGAAGATCTAAAGGGCGATTAGGTGTTTCGGACTAAATAGACTTTCAGTGTTGTCTTTTATTTCTTTGGGGGCTAGTGAACCTTCTGTAATTTAGAATTACACTGTACTCCTTATAATATAGAGAGTCACGGTGCTGTGATTTATATTCTTTGGAGTTTTATAGGGGACGCTGGCCTAGAAGAGAGAGATGGGTACTAGGGTTGTCTGACACCCAGTAACCACCAGCACGATCACTCCCATAACTCGTAAGGAAACGTAATGTGGGGACTCTTTTGCATATCATCCAACAGAAGGTACAACCTGGCTCTTTAGTACAAACGGATCAGTGGGAAACCTATCAGCAGTTGCTGAGAAGACTCGGTTTGCACCACAGAACAATAATTCATTCTCTGCATTTTGTCATTTCGACATGGAGCGAAGTAACTTATGTTGGGAGCGAAGTCACTTATTTGATGGAGCGACCTCACTTTCGAGTGGAGCTATCTAACTTTTGGTTGGAGCGATCTAACCGTAATTCTTTTCAACAGATAACTTAGATTGGCCACCGTAAAGACTTTAAAAGGTAACGTTTCGAGCGTAAGCCCTTTGTTAGAGCGAGTTTCCTAAATATACCACTGACATTAACAGTGTAAACTCAAATTGGTGTCTCAAAAATACAGAACCCAAAAACTCCCAACTAAGAATAATTGGGTTTACTATATATATATAACAGGCAAAGGTAAAAATTTCAAGGTTACATTTATTTCTTTGGAACTTATGGCTGCACACAAGAAGCCGACCTAAATTGACAGTTAGGAAAGTATCTGGAAAGTTTACTCTCCTTTTGATCAAATTATGTAAATTTTACACGTGCCTTTTACACTCAATCGTTATGTTACACTAACTTATCACAACCTGTTCATGGCATACAGTTAGAGAGCCTTATCAATTGGTACAAGCAGACCAGGGTGAAATTACTGCAAGGTCAGCCTTCCTGCTACTACCAACACTCTGTTAACAAACAAAACCCTGAAACTGGAAAATCACTTCATATACCTACACACACAACAAAAAGCCTTCCAAATCAATTCTCCAACTTCAAATTTCACAAAATAAAAAGTGAAAGTTTGGCTTTAAAAGATGTTCACAACCCAACTTTGTGAATATCACTGGACATCTATGACGTAAATGTATTCATTTAACAAGCTACATTATATACGCACTTTGTTAGGTTCTTGCTATTGATTTGTTGGAAGACAGACCCATAAATGATGTTACCATTGATAAAATATCTTTTTTTTACAATATATAACAATTTGATTCCATGTTGTGGTGTGTATGTTAACCCTTTAATCCCTGAGAGTGACTAGCATCTAATTTCTCCTTTCAATATTATCCCTGAATCAAACATTAAGGTCATGAGAATAAAGGAAATGATAATCAACTAAAGAACCTCTTGATTGTTAAACAAATTTTCCTTGCCAGCGCATTAGGAAATGTATAGAGAACAGTATAGAGAATATGCATACTGATGTTAGGGTGCAAAGGGTCTAGTAATATATCTCAGAAGACAACAAAATGTGGTAAAAACACTGGTGACACTTGTCTGTTCCTCATGTGCCACTCTTTTGGTTCTTTCCACACTTTGACATCTCTGATCTATTACAGTAACCAAACATGCACACTGCAGAAAGGATCTACTTGCTAAATAACAGGCTTAATAAAAAAAAAGTATGACTAACTTTGATAAATGTTAGGTGAAGTATAGATGACAAGACCTCCCCACAGCTAGTTCCTTTGGTACTAGCGGCACATCAATTTTGACAATTTCTCCTGCCTTCAAATCTTTGAATTGGTGACTTACATTACATGTTAAAACAAAAACCAAAACACAGTTGTGACTTTGAGTTATCAGGCCAGTAATTTTAAAATGAATCTTAAAATGATTTTTTTTTGGGGTAGCACAAGTCAATTTTGTCAACACCTTCGTGTCTTGTCGAGCTAAAATAATTTATGAATTCAATAGATGCTGAAAGTTTGAAGTGCATAAAAAATTTTAGATGAAGGACCTTTTGCAATTCAGAACTGCAACACTTCTACTTAGAAATGTAAATAAGCAACCTATGTATTTTGTATAAATAAACTGTATAATTATATTATACTATACAAACTTGTTTAAATGTATATTTTTCTCCAGTGCAGATCTGTTAAATGTAATCCTTCTTACTTGACACTGGGTATGGTATAATTATAAGTCTGAAGGACCAGAGATTAACTGCAGACTCACAGGTGGTCCCCTGTATGGCTGAAGAAAAAAAGGGAATAAAAATAAAACTTTTATTATTACTGAGAAACTACCTTATTGGAGAGCTGGGAAAGTGGGTTATTTTTAAATGAATGTTTAATTGTTTGTCTCACGATGTAAGAGTCAGGCATATCAATCGTGTAATGAATGCAATGTTTCGATTGCTATACTCCCAGTCTTCATCATGTGACAAAGTGAAAAGTTTAAGTGTCACTAATTTTCTCCCAGAATAATGATTCAGTTTGATTTCATTTTCAATACTGAATGAAGAGTAAAAATTGACTGACATTCCCACAAAAAAGCCATCTTCACAGAACATCATGGGGTGAATGTGAACTACAGTACAAAAACAAGTTGAATGAAAATATAGGAACTTACATAACATTACCTGAGTATCACAGTAAAAGTCTCGGGGAGGAGGTATTTCAATTATCCATCTAAATGAAAACAGGAAACATAATTTTTCATAGTTACATTTTCTGCAAGAACAACTGTTGTTGAAGAGAAGACCTGTGGGACCATGTCAGAGATGAACACAATAGTTTGATTCTTGCAATCATAATAAGTCACTTTCACATACTTTCTAAGTCTATGACCAAGTTTGAATTCCTTCTTAAAAAGATACATTCTACACCCCTATAGGCTATGTGAGAATTAATTGATGAGAAATACTTCTGTGGGTTGCAGATATACCTCATTAACTTTTGCAAACAGAAACTCTTACCTTTCAGAGCTATCTGTCTCAATTGGTGGAGCCTGGATGAGAAAAAGGTAGCCACTTAAGTCAATACCTTAAACTCTGTACAAAAGTTATCTTTCAAATAAAGCCTTCTCTTCAGGGTATCCAGTCATGTCACCGACAGTTCAACTTGCCAACACTAACTTGCCAACATAGAAAATCTAGTAGAGATATCGGCAAGTTGGTCTTTAATTCAGCACAACTTATTAGAAGTTAAACATATAGAAAATTAAAAGATCTTTTCCTTCCAATATATAAGTTTATAAGGATTTCATGGTGAATAAAGCAAGGTCAACATCACCAATGACTATAAAAGTTTCAAGTTTCATGCAAACAAGTTATTGTGTGACAACAACACTGGAAAGACTCATCATGTCAATCAGTCAGATTTTTTTACTAAAGATCTTGTCTGGAAAGCCAAGTTTTTTTTTAATCTGACTGATTGACATGATGAGTCTTTGTCACACAATAACTTGTTCACGGCTAAAGGTCATTGTTTTTCATTGGCGATGTTTACCTTGCTTTATTCACCTTGAGATTCTTATAAACTCTGTTCGATGAAAAAAAAATTTTTTTTTTGGCTAAAGATCTTGTCTAGAAAGCCAAGTTTTTATTTTTTACTCTGACTGATTGACATAAAGAGTCTTTACAGTGGTATTGTCACACAATAACTTGTTTGCATTTAAAGCTAATTGTTGGTCATTGGTGATGTTTACCTTGCTTTATTTGCCTTGAGATCCTTATAAACTTTGTTGGAAATAAAAAAATTGTTTTTTACTAAAGATCTTGTCTAGAAAGCCACGTTTTTGGCTTTTTTTGTTTTTTGTTTGCTAAAGATCTTTTACTTTTTTATATGTTTAACTTCTAATAAGTTGTACTGGATTGAAGACCAACTCGCTGATATCTCTACTTGATTTTATATGTCAGCAAGTTGGTGTTGGTGATTTGAATTGTCAGCAACTTGACCATAATTCCTCTTCAGTATCTTTGTGAATTTGTGAAAACAAATTAGGAGAGAAATGATAAGAGGGATGTTTTATTTTTTTCAATGTAAAGTAGATCTGGCAAGCTCAATGCAACTGTGGGCAAAACTAAGTGCATTTCTGCATCAAAATCACATCTCAAGAAAATTGTTCCATACCAGCATTACTGGGCTGAGTTTTCTCACTGAGTTACAAAAGACTGAGTGAACAAGTCCACACTGAGTCAAATATGTTAGACAATTTTTTTATTCTGAGAAAGATCAATCTCCATATAATTGACTCTGAAAAACAATCAGAATCCTGTTAAAAATAACAGTTGATGAAGCATGTGTAAAGTAAGATACATCACCTGATTGTTCCTATTGGAGTTTAGGTATGGTAAAGGATCACACTCTTGATAATATGTGCAGTCACGACCCTACACAACACATACACTCTATAAGCTTTTGTTCTTCCTCATTCAAATAATCCTTCAAGTTGTTTTCCAAAGTACATGCATGCACAAAAAACAATTTTGAAATTAGTCCTCTTGTGCTTACTGACAGTGATAAGTTAACTGAACACAAGAAAGACCTTTTTAAAAATTCAATCCAGGCCATAATTTCAACCACCCACGACACTAGTAGCTGTATGAAATATTGTTGAGATTACCCCATTTTGGTTTTTGGCTTTAAAGCAAAACCCTTATTTACATTTGCAACCAATTTGTGTACCTATTACCTAGTCAAGCTGGTTTAAAGGGGGGGGGGGGGGGAAGAGAGAGACAGGGTCAACCAATTTGTTGGACAAATAAGGAAAAGTATTAAAGAGCTTGTATTCTTTCAGAATTAAAAAACAAAAAATTACAGTGAGTGGCAAAAGTTTTGACACAATCTACTACTTTTTTATTTTTGTTTCTAACATTCATTTTTCTCCTATTCTATCTTGTTTCAATGTTGCCTGATAAAACTAGTAACCCTCACTTATTTCAAGCAACATTGTTTGTGGGGAAAGCAGGGAACTGTGGAGTAACTTATTTAATTTTGAGTGGAAGTTTGTTGAATATCTAGTAAGGGGAGGCATGCCAATTACTCTTATTAACTAGAAACATGTGGGAGAGATATTCATGACAAGAGTTCCAAAATAACCCCTTAGTATGATAAAGCTAAATTAACCACAACGAATTAATTTTACTGATCTAAACTTGTTGCACCTAGATATCAACAAAACCTTTTTTTATAGTTCAAGCCAAAAAAGAAAAAGTCTAACCCTACTGTGTTCATGTTTACTCACTTTGTCTTGTGCATAGGGAGGACCAAGGATGTCAACAAATGCTGATGGTCCTGGACTGCAACAAAAGAGGAACCATACATTAAACAATTTTAAGTAACTGACAAAAGTTTCCAAGTGTGCAACAAGAAATATTTACCTTAAATAAACATTTCACAAGCCTGGAACTCACTTTCCTAGTTACAATCAGATAATTATCTTACTTCAATCAACAGATAAGATATTTTGTAATTTTTGGGTAAAAGATATCAGTATATACTAAAACAGAGGAGAGCATTGAAGGCATGTTCTGATTCGATACTGAAACTCCACACATCCTTTGCTATTCACCTCTAAGTAAGGTGCACAGGGTTTGTGCCCAAAAATATTGCAAACATTGCCATCAAGTCAAAGTCATCTCTTTGTGCTATATTACCTCAGTTTTTAGTATCCACTTAAACAACTATTAACCTCCAAGTCAGTGGCTAGCAGTGGATATTTCCCAAGCCACAAAGCCTCCACTTTGGTGAATAGTTGTTAGCCATAACATCATTTCAGATTACAAAGTTTAAAATAAATATCTTAACAGCTGTGGCCTCTCAAGAAGGAGGGTTTGGAGCAGTTCACCTTGAAAAGTGGCTAAATGCTATGTAGGTAAGTTGGCTCTTTGAAAACGGTGCAAACGTTTTGCAAAGACACTCTACATTAAGGATACTGTAGACCTTTGTGGACATTCTTCACAAAAAAAAATATTAATGTGCTATTTGAAGCATAACCACCAGACACTACATATCATTGGAGAAGTTATGAAATGTACTATTAGGCAAATTATTCTGTTTTATCTTGAATTAATTGATTATCAAATCTGACTGCACAAATGAAACTTCTGTAAAATTCAAATCCTGAGCAGCTGGTCTACAAAACCATGTGGGATTATTTTGATATTCTTCTTGGTTGCTTTGGAATTTATCTGTCAAAATTTTACTGATACATATTACATCAGAGGCCATTGTGGGAGATCAGTTCTGAGAATCAGAATTCCCCCACTCAGTTTTTAGGTTGGCATCTTGGGAATCTTTGAACCAAATTTTGAGGCAATCCCTAAAGTTTACACCTTAAGGCACAAATTAATGAGAATGTGCCTTCTTTTAACCCAGTTAACCAAGGCTGTGCTCTAGGAAAATTTTCAGGGCGCCCTTTGGGTGCCTAACCATGACAAGTAGGTCGCCCAGCCTTCCATGTTGGTCGCCCGAATTGATTAATTAATTGATTAATTAATAAATAATCCATTTTATAGTTGAATCAGTTAATAATTAACAATAAAAAAATCCTTATTCAAAGATTTTGATTCATGGATGGACTTCAAAGTTTATCTAGCTCTCATTAGAGAAAGTTACAGTGAATCGGGAAGCCTTCGTCATTGGCACTTTCTATTTGCAAGAAAGTTAAAATTTTCAGAAAGTAGACGAAACCATTGATAGGATGTTTAATTAAAACTTGATTGCAAGTTTGTGCGACTTCCGGCCGAGGAAACCATTGCTGAATGACAATCTTTACTAATCCGTGACGTTTTGAAAGAGTAGCGTTGTATACTTCTTACAGTTCCAGGGAATCCGCAGAATTGCCAAACAGTTTCATCTTTAATCTCTCTCATTCAATATTCACTTCACTAAAATAGGTTTCGAAACAAAAGGGTTCTTATATTAAAGTTTCATTTTCGTCAAATTTTGATTGAATGATCACAATTGAGAGCAAGTCGCCAAATATGGTGCTGATAAACATCTTGCATGCCACGGACGAAGCTAATTAAATAAACACAAATTTGCATCAAGGATGGTTTCGTTTTATTAAACACGTGCTCCACTGTTGAAACTGCTTTTCGGGCTAGCAGGAGCCGGGGAGCACAATGGAGTTTCTTTTTGTTTCGTTCCGTTCCATTCTGTTTCTATACGTTTGCTGGTTTCGTTTCGAGTTTTCACACAAGCCGAAATCTATGCGCCCGGACGGGCGACCGCTTTTCTTTTTCAGTCGCTCGAGACCAAATGTTCGTCGCCTGAGGCGACCGGGCGCCGCTAGAGCACAGCCTTGTTAACACTCTGAAAAACATGAAATGCCCACTGCCAATAGAAACACAGAAGCCTCCTGCTGCTATTTTGCAGGTAACTATCTAATAGTCACCTGTGACAGACTTTTAGTTCAATTCTGCTGAATGGCAATTTTTTATTTCAACCCTTTATTTAAATTTTCTAGCTTAAAGCAGCTTAAGCATGCTGTGGCAAAACTTAATGGTTGCTGATCAAGTGTGAGCAGCGAAGATTACCTAAACCATAAGCCTTTATCCCTTTCAGTGAGATTCTTTCACCATTCTGTGTTGAATTTCTTCACTTCTTGTGCTGACAGCCAGGCCTCTTTTTCAACTTTTACCTATGGACTCTTCTTCTTTTTATCTTTCGTCACTCACATTTTAGTTTTAAACACAGACATAAGCACAGATCTCAATGTGCAACTGGAATCAGGAAATGTTTACATGATTGAAATTCAAGGACCAGGGAGTTTTGCTGCAAGAAACCCTTTGGAAGTCATTTATAATTGGCTATTCACACTTTAGCAGGCTAAAGAATTTGAAATATGTTTTTGTTTATAACTTTTGTGCATTTCCATATTTTATGAGAATTTTTTCTTGGAAACTATAGTTAAAATAATTATAGTTAGTTTGAGATGAAAAAAATTTTTAAAGTGAAAAAAATGAGCTCTCAAAGGTCTACCATATCCTTAAGCATTTGTTACTTATGGGAGGATCACCCTGAGAATACAATCATGTAATCTTTAAATCATTGTGACAATACATTCAAAACAAACATTTACACAAATAAATCAAAGGAGCTTCACAATAAATATCAATCAATTCTATGACAAGTGATGAGAAAAAGAAAGGAGAGTGATTACCAAGGATTACCTAGTATTGTGAATCGTATGATGGTTACCAACAGTTGGTGTCAGCACACAACTCCCACTGCTTTCTTCAAAAAATTGTTCAGTCTTCCTGCATCTTATGAGCCTTCCTATAAAGAGTCCAAGGATACATGTCAGTGGAAATACAACACTTGACAGAAATTAGACAATGAAATGCTCTATGATTCAGACTACACGTTCACAGCAAAGTGGATCATCATTATTTTGGCACACACATATTCCTTTATCTACTGATACACTGTCAGAAACCAAAGTTATTGCATTAAATATGTCATTAAGAGCTTTAATACATACTTTTACGGGTATGAAGAGGATGTTTTGTAAAGCCATCTGTTCTTCCATTTAGTGTAGTCCTGTAGTGAGCATAAATATGTAATTCACTCCAACTATATCACTGCAGAATTTAAAAATCTACCTAACAAGCTTCAACAGATACAACAGTACTGAAAAAGGGCAGAAGTGTTGGTACATACTCAGACTGGCTTTGATATGAATCCACTGATATTTTCCCATACACCACTTTGCTGAAATTTCAAAACAAAAACATAAACCTGCATTTCAGTACAAGAAATTAAGTTTCACATAAGTCATTGTAACCATATTTTATTACTGCAATTTGATAAACTGAACAAGTATAAGTGGACTGATCAAATTTACCTACTGACATTAAATTAAATTATGAAAGTTTGGCAAGTGACTCCCTGCCTCATTTTGTCAGATTTTCATAACATATTGCAAGAACCCAGTAACACTCCTGAAAGGAGAAGGACACTAGTAGGAAAGTGTCTTTTCCACGATCACAACATGAAGAGGCACCCAAGGCTCAAACCTCAGTTTTTCAGTCAAGAGCTAAGCATGGTTCTGGTGAAGGAAAGTTGAAATCTGTCTTGTCACAAAGGACAAAGAAAAAATCTGAGGGTCCTACTAAGAATAGATCCCCAAATTTTTGGATTCTATACTCCAATGCAATACCACAGAACTAAAAAAACAAGCTCTTGCAAGCTAGGGGATTACCAGGATCTCATGTGATGTAATATATGCATCTCTTCTGACACCTGCCCTGTTCAAGACCCCACTTCTTGCAATTAATTAACTTGATAAAGGGATTGAAATGTATGGCTAATTTGTTTTCCATTTTAAAAAATAAGGATAGCCATTTCAGTAGCAGGGCGTGAAATTAATTTTTTTCCTGATAGCCACTTGGCTCCTAAATTTTTCACAGTGGTAGCCAATTCGAAAAAAAGTTGGTCGCCATTTTTAAAGACAAACAAAACCTTTTTTCCCGCTGTCAGTGTTCTAGATAGATCCTCCAAAATTAAGTCTGGGAAAAAATCTTTTACATGCCACAAAGTGGACACTAGGATGGATGATATAATATACAAAGTTCAAGTTCTCCTAAATCCAAGATGGCGTCTAGTCATCAATTGAGATACATGTGCTGCATTTTGGAAACAAACTTAACAAGGAAGTTTGCCACGGATTTAGCTTTGCAAATATTTTTAACTCACCATACCTCTAGGTCAGGTTATGATGAAGCATTCTAGTTGCCAATTTGGCCCTGAGTAGTGCTGCCAGTAATGCAGTTACACTGGAAGTACTAGAGTTAAGCCTCAGGGTTATTATTCTTTTTACAAGCTGAGTGCAAATTGCAACAAACAGTGATGCTACTTGACTTACCACAAACCAAACATATCAGGATGATCATGGAGAGGAATAGAACATCCTTTTCTTAAGATGAATACTCCTAATGAAAAGAATGGACACTCAAAGATGGAAACATGAGTTGCTGGTGCTTCAGTGAAGCTTCCATTATTCTGTTCTAAAGGATCTGGAACAGAAAGCTTGATGTCATCTGCCGTGATTGAGTCAAGCTGAAAAAAAAATATAATAAAAACAAAGAAGTAAAGGATCAGTATGTTAACTTCCTGTAATGTACATAAAGAAAAGTTGAATGCCTTTCTTAAATGAACAAGGAAAGTGACAACTTTTTTATAGGATCTATATAAGAAATGCATTTAATTAAAACATGTGACCAAAGAAACTAAGTTGTTATCAGCTTTATATTCATTACAACAAATGACTTGGCTCTCAAAGTCAACTGAGGGACTCAAAGACCATAATACCTCATGGGCTGGATGACTATTGTGCATTGGGCTTCAAGGTACCACTAAAAAAGTTTCCGGAGGATGAAGCCAAGTGCCTTACTAAACTATTAATAATAGAGAAACTGTGGTGCTGTGTTGGTGAGAGAGTGTAACAAGGAAATCTAGCATTATCAAATGACTTGATAATGTAGATTGACCACTGTTAAGAGTTATGCTGATGAAGGGCTAACACTCAAAATGTCACCTTTGTAACTCTTATGGTGGTCAATTTGTGTTATCAACTCAGTTGATAATGACAAATTACCTTGCTCTACTAAACTGCATCATTAGAACTGAATAAAAAAATATTTATTTATAATGATGATATGATGTGTAATCACATGACTATAGTTTACATTGGGTGAACCAGTGATAGAATATTATATACTGGCAAAAACAGCAACAACCTCATAAAGGAATACAGGTCCAATCCCAGTTATTTGAAGGGTAGATAGTGTTATCCAGCAGATAATGGTCCATAAAGGAAGCCATTCTCTCTATTAACTTTGTGTCCTATCTACTAAATACAGTTATCCATACTTCTTAAAACTTGGTTGTCAAAAAATTACAAGACTAACAAGCTTTTGTCAAAGATTACATGAACATTTGGAAATGTTTATTTTTAAGTACCGTATTTATTCATCGATAAGCTAAGTAAAAAATACTCTAGACTAAAAAGGGATCATATCTGTATCTGGTACAATATGAAGAAACATTCATATTGTTTCAAACGCTCGCGTTCCTGAAAAAGAAATTTGAAGCCAGAGAACACAAATGACATGGAAAAACGGTCGGCGACATGGTACCTAATCCATAATTCCCACGATTTTCAACCCACAACATGTTGCTTTAATGACTCTAGTTTGCTTTGGAAGCTTGTTAATGCAGTTTCAAAGAAATTATCAGAGCATGCTTGAATGATAACGTGTCGTGTAAATTTACTGTTTACAATTTGGATCAAACTTATGTTTCTACGTTCCGGTACGTAAACGAATACGTAAATCTATGGTCAACATTAAACCATCTCAACTAGCATAGCATCAAAAGTACAAAAAATATTTTGCAACTCATTTCATGCTTTGAAAATTGGTTGAAAGGAAAGTTGTTCTAGCTCCAAATCTCGCACATAAATTTTTGACAGGATTTTTACCGGCAAAGTACGTGTTTACCGGATGTGCGTGATTTAGTGCATGTACGCTTATTGTTGACCACCAACGGCCTCTAAAGGTGATCAGATATTTTGCAATTTTCATTGCTGACCTACCATTGTTTTTAAGGTTTCAAAGTTCGAAGAAAACGTTGCTGTTTCTCTTGTCATGAAGGTGACTAAAGCTTGTCTCGAAAGGCGTTGAATCACCGCCGCCATTTTGTCATGAGCTTGCACAATTATAACTCGTTCCCAGGGCTTCGTTTTAAGGAAACAAGAGTCACTGGTTTAGTGGTCAGTGGTGCCTATTTAAAAAACACGCTCGGAGGAATTTTGGCGGGAGTGCTAATCGAAAGACTCACGAAGAAGCTTCCGAATATTACTTCATTACAGTTAAAGAATTTGCCGTCGATTGCAAACATTTGTAAAGATCTCTGAAGATGTTAAGCGAAGGGGCAATCCAGGTACGGCTGCATATATTGTCTTTCTTTCGATTCCTATCAATGACACACGCATGTGTTTTTAAATCTCGACTTTGTTCGCCTTTTCGCGCGAAAAATATATTTCTTTATCGTATGTTTTATTGCAGGAAATTATAAGCAAACCGGTGGAAGAGCATCCGCATCAGCCAATTTTGCAAATTCTGGTAGGAATTTTCAAAATTGAGCTTTTAATTTAACTTTTCTAAATGCACGAAGTACATATACACGTAATATATTTCAAATAAACAGTGACCAATCTACTAGCCAACCATTATTGACCACGATGATTTCCTCGTTTCTTGCTTTCAGGCTTAATTATTTATTTTACAATATCCAGTTACATATTATTATACTGTGGTTCTGAAAGGCTTTTCTCACAGGCTCAGTGGACTGAGCCGGACTGTTTCTACCATGGCTTTTCATTACTAGCTCTTTTTTCTCTGTAAAGCAATCCTACCCATCAAGTTTTTAACAGCTAGATTCTTGCCAACGAGGAGATGACTTCTCCTATTGGAACGGGTCGCTGATCCCTAGACATAAAATTTCCATGAAGTGCACATCCATAGTGACGGACAACCTTTTCAAATGAGATGAAGATTTGGAGAGGGTATTAGGACATTTAATCCAGCCTGTTTACGTACTGCACTTTTCACCAACCATATTGGAATTTTTTTTATCTATTTTGGATTTACTTGTTGTTCAATTTGGAAGAATTGTTTCAGAAGCTTAAGAAAGAGAAGGTGTAGTATTTTAATTACAAATGCTGTTCTGTAAAATTTTGTGGGAAATTTCCAAAGTAAACCTTCTTGTCATTGATACTCTGGTAAAATTTAAAAATTGTGAAATCAAAACTTTTTGCACAGGGAATAAAACAAATTCAGTCAAAAGGAAGTGATGGTAAAGGCAATGACCGGTACAGGTATGCACTTTTTTAAGATTATTTTTATACACACAATGCTAGTGTATTTTACTGCATGAATTAAAAGCTCTAGCTGACATGGATTCTAAGTACATTATTTACAGACTGTTACTAAACTTCTGTCTTTGGTGGTGTAAGTCTTAAGATAGATATTGATAGGAACTCTTTTAATGTGTTATTCTTCATCTTCACAATAATTCAACTCTCATGTTAAGTGTATAAACAAATTGATGTCCACTTCATGGATCATAATACTATTTTATCCTGTTCTGTGAGAGAGGAATAGTTTGTATGCTTTGCCAAAGACAATCATCAATTTTTTTTTGAGGTTATTATTAGTTTGGGCTTTCTTTATAAATTTTCTTGCATCCAAAATAGAACTGATATATGAAACAGAAACTTCAGCTATAGAGAGATGGGGAAACAGGAGATGGCTTGTTTACATTTATGGAATGATATTAACAATTGAATTCAAACTTGTTTACTGATTTTTAATATAAGAGCTGATTTCTGTATCATAGGCTTGTGCTATCTGATGGCATTCATGTCCTTACATGTGAGTATCATATTATATCAATAAATACTGTAGTACTATACCCATTTAAATCAAAATGAAGTTTTGCCTGTGCTTTATAGTTTATCTGTAAAACGGATGTGAAACATCTGTATGACTTAATCTTGACTACCACTTAGGAAGAAAACAGAAAAGAACTCCATTGATTTTTGCTATGGTGTAGAGCATGGTTAACAACAGTTTTTTTTTTTATCAGAAACCCTAAGGTTAATTAACACTCCTGCTTACCACAGGGTAGATAAGGGAAATATGTCAGTGAAGTGGCTGACTTACTGATGCCATCCTTTAAGTTGTGAGAAGCGTTATATAACTGCATCTCTATATATAACAATGTCTAATATAGCAGTATGTTGTTTTTACAGCTGCTATGTTGGCCACTCAACTAAATGAGATGGTGACTTCGGAACAATTAGAAGTGAAAGCTGTTATTCAGCTGAACAAGTACATCTGTAATGTTATTCAAGAAACCAGGTAAATAGAAATTTGTTGAACATATTATATTACTTTGTAAACCTTCCTTTTGGCCTCACATTAGCCTATGCTTGACAGCAGAGTTAATACACCTAGCTTTAGGTTAGTGTTGCTTCAGCTTTAGTGAAAGATTTTTGAAAAGTGAAAGGAGACAAAACCACACTTGAACCAATACAACAGAGCTTTGAAATTAATATCAAATAAAAAGGGGTTCTTGGGAAGACATTTTATTCACTTTAAGGTTATTTTCAGGAAAGTTTTGATTCTGATGGATGTGACTGTTATTAAACCTGGAAGGGAAGTTCCTGGAAAGATTGGAGATCCCAAAAACTTAAATGCAGATCCTGGCATTGATCGCCAAAATCCTCCACAAAAGAATGGAAATGGTGCTCCACAGAGTATTCCAGGTAGAGTAACAATACTGTCTTGTCTAACTTACAAATTTTAGTAGTATTCTAGCTGGCTGAAACTTATGTATTCATTGTAGTTGATGTTCATGTGATTAGCAATGATGTCATTTCAAAAGGAAAAAATGTACTT